TTACGTTATGTACTTAATTACTTAACTAACTACGTACGTGTGTTGTTAGTAAGTAATACTATAGTTAGTTAGTAGGTAGGTAGTAGTGTCGTAGTATATATATATATATATATATATATATATATATATATATATATATATAATATCTTGATAAGGTTATATAGGTATGTATACATCTCTTAATAAGGTTAGATGTCAATAGGTATCTCAAGATTAGTTAGCAATTATCAATAATTGTTGGCATCTATCCATAACTATTATTAGTCGTATATTTATACGAGTCTTGTATATTCTTGATTAATCAATAAAGAGATAGATATTTCTCTGCAGTATTATGAATTTCTAATACTCTCTGCCCCAACATTGGCTCTTTCTCTGTCTTTTCCACTATTTTTCCTCTAAATGTATTATTTTACTTCTCATATCCTTGTTCACTTTTGCCAAGTGTCTTGAAACATTTGAGAAACACCTTAGGATTCTTAGATATGCTTTTTCACGAACGTCCTTAGTACTTCAACATCAACAAGCTGTTGGATTAATAATTCTTTGGTGTCAGTTCGTGTATATCACTAAACTTGCTTTCTTTACCTTTTTTTTTTAGCCTGAAATGAAAACTAGTTGAGATTATGCTTTGGGAATCTCTAGGAATTGTGTGCCATTGAGCACCCTGTTTTAGTTGCCAATCAACAAAAATAAAAGAATTGTCGAGTTTTTTTTTTTTGATAAACATTAACAACTTTATCTATGAGCAAAGATTACAAATGTGTGGTTAAAACATTAGATACCAAAAGCAATGGCAGAGAAGCACCCCTTTCACGAGACTATCAGCTACATGATTTGCCTCCCTATAAATACGACAAAAAGAGATATGCAATGACTTTGTCGAATCTAACACTTGTAGGCAAATCAATTTCAATTCCCATGGGACTCTCTGCTCTGAATTACACCATCTAATAACATTCAAAGAGTCACCTTCTATACTTTTAAAGAGTTTAAAATCTTGGAGAAGGGCTGAGAATTTAGCAATGTTAGCCATGGCAATACCAATAGGACCAGCAAAGGAGAAAATCTCTACTCATTTCAGTCTCTAACAATCCCTCCATTACCCTCCACACGAGGGTTACTTAGTGAATTGCTGTCAAAATTGACAGCTTAAAGCAACCCTGTACTCCAAAATGTCGAATTTTCTTTTTTGTCAGTTGCAAATTCTCATTTTGTATTAGGTTATCACTTATCAGTACCCCAAATAGACAATAGCCCATGAACATAAAAACTCTCTAATATATTTTTCTCTCGTTTCTCTTCATTACACCATTCACATTTTTTCTTGTAAAAATTTGCAAAATTCAGTTTTTAACTTCTTACTGAATTGCCACAAAAGGTTACCACTTCCATAGGAAGGGAAAGTGTGATGAACAGATGCATGTGGCTACACTCTCACAAACACTTCTATCAACTCTTGTTTGCAGGATATGCATTAAAATTAGGCTCCAACCAACTAAAATTAGGCTACAATATAATGTATATGCTCCAACCAAATAAATTGATCCATGTTAAATCATAGTCCGAGATATTTCAGTATGCCATACTAGAGCTCCTACTTAAGTTAAAACTTTAACTTGATATGACTTAATGTTTGTCAAAACCATGGTTGATTGTGGTTCTCTTTATCGCATTCCATTATATAATATTGGTTCAAAATATTTTCTCCTAAAAATAGTGCTAACACCAACAAGAGTGTTAGTGTAGAAAAGTGCTAACACCAACAAGAGTGCTACTCTACTGTAGTATCCACCCCATATAGAGTAGAAAAGTACCCTAACCCATATTTTGAGTTTTCAAGAAGAAAGTATGAATTTTCCCAAGTATATTAAAATTGCATCCTCCTATCTTGATCCATATTATCTAAAATTTCATATTATAACCTAATAATGTTTTATAAGATTTCATATACACTTGCTTCTACTATTATTTGGACTTTTTAGTTAATGGTTATATTTCATGGTCATAGTATGGACACAATGAAATTTATGTTTTAAGAATAAGTATTATTTGATATGATTTCAAAATGGACATTATCTTTCCTCAGAAGATATTATCATTTTTTGGTATTTATTGATGTTTTACTTTAGCCATAGAATATCAATTTTATGTTGCTTGTTTTTTTTTCCGGGCGTAAGGATTTTTATGTTGCTTGATGATGCTAATGATTATTTTACACTTTGAATGTAAATTTGATGTACTTGCAGCCATCTGATCTATTTCTACTACAAAGATAATGGGCATATATGGGGACCAATGACACTTTTGTCATGGGAGCTCCTAGCCTATCTGCTGAACTAGTGATCAATCACTCTTAAATCAGTTATGTACTTTTGGAGAAAAAACAATTTTCAGACTTGTTGGTGAGTACATGTTTTGTAATTGTATAGTAATGTTGCATATCAGCATGAGGGTTTTTTGTTGTCCACATTCAACTAGCTGTTTTCCTCACATATTGCTTGATCAATGTATTACTATCAATTGGATGCTCTTGAAGAAGAATTGTTCGTCAGACTTATTGTTTCTGGAGACCTCATTGTCTATGGGATTGTGTTTACCAATTGTGTACTTTTTTATTGATCTTTTTCAATGCAAAGACTAATTTATGGAAATTTGAATTCTAGGTATATTGATGCAGGTAAAGATGGAGAGAAATTTGAATTCTAAGTATCTTGATGCAGCAAAAGATGGAGAGAAGAAATAATTAAAAAATAATAATAATAATAAAGAATGAGAGAATATACCTATCTCAGA